CTGGCATTTTAGCATTCAATTGTATGGTAAAAATACATTTGTTTAAAAATATGAAATATAATTTACTCAGAAATGTTATTAAATCCTTAGAATAAATAAATCAGCAAATACTGCTTGACCCAGCCCTAATCAGTAATAGGCTGCAACGTAAGATAAAGGTTATTAAAATAATCCTTTTATTGAAAGAGAAAATTAGATAAGTTGCACTGATTGACTCTGAGGCCCTCCTAGGGATATGTAAAATGAAGAATAAACTCAACTTGATCTAGTCCAAAAAGCCTGGAGAAATCCTCACAGCTGGAACATCACCACTAATTACATTTTTGCTTTTTGGATCTATTTTGCCAACTCTTTCCATCCATTTATAGTGAAGTCATAGCAGTTATTCCCTAACAAAACTAAAACACATGGTCTTTAAAGAACATATTTCTTTATTTTTGCTGTTGACAGCTATAAATTTCATTTGCATTGACCCACAGGTATTGAAATAATAGAAGAATTACAAATTATACAAAATACTCTGTGTTAAAAAAACAGTTTTTCTGGATTTGTTTTGTTTTTTTTTTCTTGCTGAGTCAGGATAAATTTCTGGCTCCTGGGTACTCTTTCTCCCCTCCTTCACCACCTAATCCCAGTCCTATTATCCCTTTCCGAAGTGTTTGGCCACCTTGACTGTCCTCCTTTCCTTTTTTCTCAACTCAGCATTCCCTGACTTCTTGATAAGTCCCTGTCTCCTTGTCACATTGTCCCTGTTTCAAATCCCCCACTTCCCAATTCAAGCCAGCAATACATTCATTTTTTTTTTTTTCCCTCTGTGTTTGTAGATAAATTGCTTTGCATGGTATCAGTATAGAAGGGATATCACAGAGCCTGGGAGAAAAATAGGTCCCTAATCTTGTGTCCAAGGGGTGGTTCTCCATCTGGCTCTAATTCGCCATTATGGAGACAAATCGAACTGCAGTATGCTCAGGACCCTGTGCAGCAGTAAAGAATGATCTATAGGCATGGCATTTTCATTAGAAGGATTAAAGAAATACTGTATTATTTGAAACTCTCTTTTCCAGAATGGACAAGCATCAACTGAGAATATTGTATTTTCAGTGTTCAAAATCTGACAGAATTTTTAGTAAATGCAAGTCTTACTGTTGATGGACATCTAAACTTACATCCAATGTGGACATAAAAAACTGGATTCTTACATACTTTTATTCTTGTGTTGTCCTTTGCATCAAGTGAAAGTTTGTGTGTTTTGAAGCCATGCCACTAACAAAAATGCTCCGTAACAGTAGAAATGATGCACAGATGTGTGAGTTCTGTAAGACCTATTTGCACAAATATATTTGACTGCACCATATATAAAGTCATTGTGTGCAATGTACAAGTTTGACAATATAAACCAAAATCGCATTAAGCCAAATGAAACATATTGTTTCTACAAAAATGTATGCACCAGATTTATGGCAGTAAAAAGTGAAAACAGGATCCTCTTTCATCTATCAAATGGCAAGAATTAGCCTGTTATGGGAACAAATAGATGCGAAATATTTACAGAGAACAAAAAGCATCAAGATGCATTACAAAATAACATTAAATGATTACAGAAAGGCAGTAATCTGCATAACATTTTTTTGGAGCCAGCTCTTATCGCTTGCTTTCAAATCCTGGCAATATCAGTATTCTCCAGTTTGATTGGTGACTAGTCTGAACTTACCCTTCTTGCTTTTAGGAACAAAGACAAGAGAATGGCTACCTCTATTCATCTGTTGTTGTTTAAATAGCTGTCACAGCTTCCAGGATGTCTGTTTCCATGTTATCTGGTGAAGGAATAAAATACAATGGCAACAAACCAAATACGGTGAAAAATGTTCATTGTATTTGGCCCAAACCAGCTGCTGTTTGCAGATAAAATCTGGTTTTAACAAAACCAAGTGAATTTTGCAAACTGAAGAACAATGGATGGAGTGGATATAGCATTAACAAATATTTTAAAGATATGTGTCGCATGCAGACTTGACAATTATATTGATTTTGTTCATGTGTCAAGGGCCATATTAATCTCCATTCAGATGTTGTAGAGGCTTGGGTAACAGTTTGTCTTATCCTTGTTTATTTGTTAATTTATAATATCTTAGCTCCCAGCACAAGCCCAGATACTTCTTTGTTCTGCCTTGTTCTGCCCCCCTCTTTCTTCACACTGTTGTGCTCCCAAATCTGGCAATGGTGTTGTAGATTGACCCTCTTTCTTTTCCTAACTTTTCTTCAAATGCTTCCTTTGATGCTTAAGACTGAAAATGCCAAATCTCTGTTTCCCAGCAAAAGAATATCATTTTTGCAGGTTGCTCTGTTAGTAGCTTAAGAGGAACATTAGGAGGTCCTTTGCAACTGTTTAAAAATTGTTAGGCTAATGATTATTTGGAAAGAAAGATATCTCATGGTATTGAGAAACAGGACTTCTGCAGGAATGGAAGATTTTAAAATGCTTTAATGGCAAGAGGTCGTATTATTCTGCTACTAAGATATGTGGTTATGTTTTAATTGGCTGTGTTTACAATGTGGTTTTTCTTAAAAATGCATTTCTTCAAGATTCCCTCAATCATTGCTTATCTCACATCCACAAATATCCACACTTCCTGTGTATAATATGTACATTTGCTCTGTTTCAAACATACTCACACTCAGAGTTTATTTCACTTGGGACATCAGGAAAACAGTCACATTAGTATGACTTTTTTTTTTTTTCCTGAGTTGACATTTCATTAAAATAAGTTCATAGTAAGTTCAGCTCTCTAGTCTTGCCCTTCAGTGTAAATTTGTTTCTGTTATTTATTATAACATAAGAATTTGGATGTTATTTTGAGTTCATACCATTCTAGCCTTAGAGTTACTTTGCTTGTTGCAAAACCATGCCACACATTGTTTGGAAAGTATTTGCAAACTTAGCAACATGTATTTGAGCATGTACAAAGTACAGGAAACTTACATACATTTGAAGTAGTAATACAGTTAAAAATATATCCCCTTGCTTAAATTCTATGACAAAAGCTGTGTTGGGAGCTTTCTGTATCTCAACAACTGCATGGAAGAGCAGTTTTTAAGTTAATTAAGGCTTTTCAAGTGGGTCAGTTTTATTTAGTATGTTTTAAAATATTTTGACAGTTTGATACCTAAAATATCTAAGTTGTCTTAGAAAATATGAGAGGTCACTGATCTCTTTCTCTGAGAAACCCAGAGGCAAATGATGTCTTTCCTAAGTTTACTTTCTTCCTTATATGAATCAACTCCAAAATGCACACCAGTGATTAGACTCTTTCTTGCTATACCATGAAAATCTGATACCTTCACTGGAACCATCGAATGAAGATGTCTTTAGCAAAAAAAACCCTCCGTGACATCCCACAGAAGATGTTTGTGTCTATTTATTTATGTATTTATTTAGGTTGGGTAGGAACCATTTGGGAAAGCCATATTTGCAGCAGAGGGAAGAAGAATTTTCAGCTGTACAATAGTATTGTGTAGTGTTTATCAATCTATTGTGTAACCAGCTTTGTTTAACTTTTGGGTTTTTTCTTTTGATCAAAAAAGCGTAACAATTCTGACAGCAGTTTGGAATAAAACATTTGGTTATGATTTTTCACCCTAGAATAGGATTTGAGAAGACAAACTAGCAGGATGATCTGAGAACAATATGTAAAAAATAAATAAATTAGAATACCCGCAAACGTACATGTCTTACAATGATCAAACCCAAATGAAAAAGAGCAAGTCTGATGAACTCTTCTGTAGTCCAGAGATCTGCATAGCACCAAGAGGACATTCTGATGTCCTTGTAGTGTACTGAGATAGATCAGTATGTGTCTGCTAATGACTGAGTCCTTGGTAAGACGAGTATAGATATGTGTGTATCTATATATATATGTATATGTATATATTTCCTTTTGAAGAATTCAGATTAGTATCTGGTGCAAAGACATTGATCCAAATTTCTGTATCATGCCAACAACAGTCTAAAAATATTTTTTAAAAAAACAAACCAAAACAAAACAAAAAAAACCCACAACAAAAAAAAGCCAAACAAACAAAAAACCCCAAACAACCAAACAAAAAACAACCACAAACACTCCACAAAAAACCCCACCAAACCCTAGGATATTGAAGTTTCTATTAATTGTGGAGATTTTTTCCTTTTCTTTTCTTTCTTTTTTTTTTTTTTTTTTTTTCCACTTAGTTTATAATCTGTTCATAGATTATCTGTGAAACTTTAATCTTAGAAGTCTCCAAGCAGTGGGACTTTTTTTCCCATTGTGATGTCAGAACTGATCAAATCTGATTGTTACGAAGATCCCACTAAGGAGTTTAGCACTAATTGTTAGAAGATGTCCATGCTTAAAAAAATTAGGCCAGTGATTGTAACCATGCTGTTAATTTCATGTATCGTTCAGAGCACGTTTCAACTGTGGGAATCTGATGTACTTTCTTGATTAAAAATGCACTGAGGAGCTGTAGTTTTTCTTGGTGTTGCAGAATCTTCTGATCTGTAAGTGAAACCATTAAGAGCAGGAAGGGTTAATTGTACAGGAAGCCTCGTATTCAAATACTTCTCATATACAAAATATATGCCATGCTGGAAAATATTCTATTGTCAATCCAAATGGAACACAAACTAAAATGAGATAATTGGGAAGGTGCCCATAAAGTCTGCCTGAATATATTATCACAAGTATATGTGAGATAATATTTGTTTTAAAAAGATTCTATGGCACTGTAAACTCAGTCTCATTAGAGACTGCATTTAAAAGGCTTATAAAGTTACTCATTAATGTTATCTTGTTGTATCTCCACAGCTTTTTCATTAAAGAAAATTCAGCAGAAAGCATTTTCTCCTGATAGCAGGAACCAATTTGCAATAAATGTTCTGGAAACCACTAGGGAAGCCATTACTGAGGTCTAATAAAAACAGACAAGCGTAACTTGTTCTATATTTTTGTTTCAATCACATACAGATGAGACCCCGCTCTCCACACCAACCGCAAGAGACAGCCTTGACAAACTTTCTCTAGCTGGGCATGGGCAGCCACTACCTCCGGGTTTTCCATCTCCTTTTCTATTCCCTGATGGATTGTCCTCCATAGAGACCCTTCTGACTAACATCCAGGTAGGACTTCCTGTAGATCAGCTTAAAGGGATGGAGAGGAGCCAGTTGCAGATTTGTCTAAATTAATATAACCTTTCTGGCTTAATCAGTTCATAAGATTATTTGGATCAACAAATTTACTGAAACTTTCTAGTAATTTAGGTTTTAAAGGAACCACAGCAAAAAAATGAATTTAGAAGCTGTCAGATACAGTGCATAAAAATAAAGATTTTATATTAAAGCACAGCAGAAGATTTGATGAAAATGACATTGGTGTGTTTAACAACATTTGTCTTAAATGCTCTTTTTATTACAGGCTAATGAAATGCATCTTACTATTTAACTTCATCTCGTTTACTAAGCAGAGAAACATTTCTTTAATAAATAGTTATTTTAAATTGCTGGTCTGCCAAGGTGGAAATGAAATTTAAAGCTATTTGAAATGTGTCTCCCATAAAAGCAATCACAAAAAGTATTTTTTTTTAAATAAATAAGCTCATTTCACTTAAAGTACTGTCTTCAAAGAATAGACTTCAAAGGGTATTACCAAATTTTCTGCAGATTTCCTATTCAGTAGTCATGATGTCTGCTGTGTGTACAGTACAGCCTGATTCAAATGTTATTTAAGGTGTACACTAGCATGTAGCTTGGAGCCAAGATGTTAGTGTTTCATATTAGAATGAATTTTTGTCCCCAAATTCAGTGATCATGTGTTCCCCAGGTGCAACACTTGCAACAATATGGTTTGTACATTGCATGCACAAGCAAAATGATAGTGCAGGAAATAATGCAGCCATCTTGTACTCATACTAGATAAGCTGTGTCTGTGCAGCTACTAACTTCTAATGTATTGTCACAATATTTCTCCCAGCTCATTTCCACAAACACAGAAAGTCAAATTAATTATATTCAGCAAAGGCTATGACAGACTAGGGCCAAATCCTGTTCACTTTACTTTCTTAAGGAATTTCATAAAAGTTTATGACACTTCAGAGTTGTTTTGTGAAAAGCATATGTTCCGTTCATTAGTGATGTTTTGAGATCTAATAATGAAAAAAATACTGCTATGTAAGAATTAAGTATTTCTATATCTGCCTGTTGTGAAAGAGCATATTTCTGATTGCTTTTCTACAACACTTAGCATTCTAACAAATGCTGAAGTCTGTAAAGAATGTATTTTTTCCTAAAAGAAGAAAGACAGTTATTTAAGTACATAACAGATAGCTGTGCATACATATACAGGAAATTTCTTTATTTTTATTTTTTTTTTAAATTAGTGATGTCAATGTCTCTAGACAGCAACTTAATGAGCAAAGCATTCAGCATCAACAGGTTAGTTAATCTTCTGATTGAATATGAGAGTGCTTCACTACTTCAGGATAAATGACCAGGATTTATTTGCCAAGAACGCATTCAGTTGTGTTTTACAGGAAATGTGAACATGAAATTCAGTCTTTTTTTTTTTTTCTTTAAAACACAAACCAAACCCTAATCTTAACTGGAGAGAAGAGCTAAATCTAAAAGGCAACATTGTAAAGAAACCAGAGGCTTCCTTATGCCTTCTTCTAGTGCTTTTCTACTTACTGCTCCTTACCTTGAGGTTCCATATCACAAAAAGTCATCTATCAGGGTAAACAGGTAGGACATAGGTCCATTTGGATTTTTTTCAGTAGGTCCCTATGTCACATTACATGTTTTCCACAGATCTCTGGGAATTATTTCATATACCATCAAAACATTTTTCCTCCAATAGTTTGACTGTCTACTGGGACATCAGGAAATCATAAAAAAAAATTGCAAAAAATAAAAAAAAAAGCTAATTTGATTTACCCACCTGTGTAGACAAGTGTTCTCTTGAAAACAGTTGAGTCTATTACAATAACCTATGCACAGCAGTGGCACTTTCTCTAATCAATGCCATTTAAAATTGTTTCCATTGCAATTATTGCAACGAGAGAGGTGTAACCCAGGCCCACAGATGTTTTAAATACTGTGATATCAACACTATCACTACTGAGTTTTAGGTATTTGAATAGAAATTTGAGATTGTTGATGGGATTTGTGGAAAGAGGAGATGCATTTAATGCATGAGTCAGAAGTACTTTTGTCACTGGGTAAATTCCTCTTTTCTTTCTTTTGGTCTGGATGAATTTTACATCCCTTTCAGTACAGAAGTGTGGCTCCAAAGGGAAGGTCGAGAAGTGAGATCCTTAACAATTCTCTTGTTGCAGCTATGGTAGCAATGGATCTAGCTTTCTACTAAAGGTCATCCGGCCCACAGTCTGTTCCCTGACTCCAGTACTAAGGTGCTTTTTAAAAAAGAAAATAGTAGAAATCTAGGCAAGGGCTGGCAGAGAGGTTTTGGCAAATGCTCTTCATTTTTTTTCTCAGTATCATACATAACAAAAATACCTATGTGTCCTTTCACAGAAAGGGTACATGTCTGCTTCTGAACTGCATGTCTTCATTAGGTCACGGGACTGGGGTGCGTGCAGAACCTGGCAGATGTGTTGGTGGAGGATACCTGTATTTTAGGGATGTGGTGGTCACATGAATGCATAGGCAAGCAGTCTCTAGCTACACCAATGTGCATGGATGTGATGATAGATATCTGTGTTGTGTTCCCCTTGTGTATATTCAGTTGTGTGAGGAGTAGGATCTGGAGTATCTTCTTAATACAGATTTTGGGTGTCTCAAGAAAAGGTTGGGCCTGTTCTGGTTTAAAATAGAACAAGATTAGAGTACTGTATGGGCAGGACGAGCTCTGATTTTTGACCTTTGTCAGGGCAAGGAGGATCCTAATGTCTCTGAAGAGAGTACTTTTGGTTATGTGAGCAAGAATATCTAAACACTTTTAATATTTGAAAGCAGAGTGTGCTAAAAGTCTTGCAGGTGCTGAAGAGCTTAGGTGATTAGACTTGGTACCTAACTCTACTTATTTCCATTTTAGAAGTCTTATTCATCCTTTTAAATTGACCACTAAATACAAGGGAGTCAGTGTCTTCTGTCCATACTGAAGTTAAATGTAGAGCCCCTAATCATTAATTTGTAATTTCAGGCAAATGTTGGACAAGCCTATTTGTTATTTCTCTCACCAGAAGCTGCTAGTTAGGTTTATTTCCTTTTGTATATCATATATATATGCTTTTCTTACTTCTCCATAAATGCTTACTGAAATAAAAATACATTGTTAATTATTTGTACATTTAAAGAGGAGATAACAACAATATACTGTACCCAGAACAACTGATTTTTATTTCTTGCTGGGGACCACTAAAATGCCAATAATAAACTGTAACAAAATATAATTTTAAAAAAATATACACATAAAATAAAGAAATTAGATTGGGGGTATATTTTCTCATTCAAATATGTATCTGCACATCTAAAAGGAAGAGAAAATAAATTTCCCCAGATAGGTTAAATTAAATTATATATCTGTTATTTCCCAATGTATATTTGTTAAAATCTTCCAGATTATGTGCTGGAAGTCTATGTGCAGCTGCAGGGAGGATGAAGGGTGATGGAAGGTGGGTCACAAGAAAATGCTGTGTGGGTGCTAGTGAGAAGGCTGAAGATGTTTTTGTAACCCTCACATAAGTTCACCTTTTTGAGTCATGGCCCGATTATGCCAATGTATGTTAGAGCCACAGCCTTTGAGGATATTGCAGTATTCTTGGGCAATAATGATGTCCTTTTTAAGCTTTTAGAGGTTGAATCTTTACTGTCTCTGAGCTGAATTTCCATTAATATCTAAGGAATGAATGAGTTGCACCCTGATAGTGATATTTTTCTACCAAGACTGTATTGCATTCAAACAGTCTTGTTGCTAAGTATTTTTAAAGAGAGATGTAAAATAAGTTGCAAGTATCCCATTGATATTAATAAAAGAAATGCATTATTGCAAACTAAATTCCCCTGTGAAAACAAAACAAACTACTGGCTTTATTGCTGTGAGTCTCGTGCACTGTTATCATCTATGACTAAATACATGAGAGCGAAATATTGCAAACACTAGATAAAGTAAAAATCAGTTTTACTTCATGTGATTTTATTTATCTTCCGCTACATTCAAGAGAATTATTTTATTTTTCACATAAAGTATTAATGGAAAATGTCATTTATACTTGTGCAATATGCCTTTACCTGTGATGGAAGTATTTGATCTGAGATACTACAAAAATGTCTTTCTGGAGTCATCTGGAGAGATAGTCATGCTGTATTGTCTTGCCATGTGCACGTTACTAAGTCTGTAGGCAGTTACAAACAGCAAATGTTCAAAAATTAACCTGTGATGTTAACTAAAAATGTATATATTGATTTTTTTGCTAGCTTTTCACTAGATAGTTTTAAGGATGAGAGCATACAATTTATATACAATTTCCTGGCTAGAAGAGAAACAATTTTATTTTAAAATGTTTTTACCATGAGTAACTAATATTGTAAATGGAAGCCCCTGAGCTACAAATCTCTGGAAGTGGGGAGGTTTTAGTAGGAAAGCTTTGCTGTATGCATGGCTTGTTCCTCTAGCTTTTCTTTTCCACTCACTGTGGGTGACTTGAAAATGGGATGTGATCTTCTAGATAGATCACTAGTAAAGGCCATTGTGATGTCACATGTCAGTGTATAGCTAACTAAATCATGTTAGGTGGAACAACACACTGTAGATACAGCTAGTAACAGTTTCTGTATACTTTCCCTCTACCCCTTTCAAAATAGGCAACACATTATTTGCATTTAAAAAAAAAACCAAAACAATGCGTATTACTGGCTTTAAGGCTGAGTTGAGGTTTGGTGTATATTTAATTTCTACAGGATCAGTAGACTGCCCTCACATGATCATGTTCTTGGATACATAGGAGAATGGGAAGAAACATCAACTATATATCAACTTTTTTTATTTTTGACATTTCTTAAGAATGTATCAGTGGCAAATATTAAAACAAGTGCATTAAAGTAAACAAACCAATTCAGAATTATCTATAAATAATTTTTGACATGAGATTGGAATTAAAAAAAAAATTATTATCAGTGACACAGAAGGGAAGAATGGCATACCATGTTTAAAGCCTGGCTCCACATAGAGCCATACTGTATTAAAAACAAATCTGGAACCTGAGCATGTTCACTACAATTATCATTATCCAGCCTCCATAACATCTGACCTTCCCTAAAGGGAAATATTTTGTTTTTGTTAATGTCCTGTGTTGCACTGCATTTCCCATTGTCATTGGCAGCATATTGATTTAATATCAGGTTAGAGGATTAGCCATAGCAAATGCAAGTTGGACATACTGTATTTTGTATAATCTTTTACAGCTGATCCACTGGGAGAATTAATAGAATTTCATGCAACTCTGAAATTGCTATTCCTGTTCCAAGGGGCACTGATGATTTTTAGATGCTGTACTTTTTAGTTGTTTTTCTCACCCCCTTCTGCATTGAGTACAGGGAGATACTGAATGTTTCCAGTATTTTTGCATTAAAGCTGTCATTGGCAGTAACAGCACTTTTGCATATGCATCAGTTTGGCTCTAGTGCAGATTTTTTTCACATTGGACGCCCACTGATGTGCACTGATTTAAGTTCTAAAAATGAAACTTAATTTTGTGTAGCTTATAAGTAGTCCCCAGTGGGTCTTGGCTCCAAAAAGCTAATATTTTTCAGACATAATCAGCAGCAATAGGTAATGTATTACCATTAGCTACGTTAGCAGCAAGTATAAAAAAAGGAAAGGTTGGGGGAGGAAGTGTGGTGTAGAAATTCAATAGAAAATGTAATACACTTTTAGCAGCTTCGTACTTTGCAGCAATTCTTAATACAAAATTACAGACATCAGTGTTACACTCTAGTATTATTCAACATGTTTATTCATAATGATTGTTTCATATTTAAAGAACACCAAAATATTGTGTTTTGTCAGCCAAGGACAATAATAGTTTAATAGTAATTTATTTTAAACTGCTACTGATAATGCAACCAATCAACACATTAAGTGGTGCCAACATTGGCATCTTGCTAAATAATCTCTAGACTTTGCACTGAGAGTACATCTTTCAAAGATAAGTCAACAAGAGCAATCAGAGCAGAAAATTAGAATTTGGTATCTTAGCATTAAAATACAGCTAAACTAAAGTTTTAATTGGGGTGATCTAAAAGGGCACTTGATGTAATGATCTCTTTCATTTGTTACTAATTGTTTGTTCCTGATGAAGAAGAATCATGTACATGAATGTAGCTGAAGTGAGTAAAGATGGCAGTTACTTTAGCAGTTTGATTTTATTGTCAAACAAGACAAATTGTAAGAATTTGGGAGGAAGGTGTTTGCAGCTTTAAACTTACTTGACAATACCCTTTTCATCAACAAACACTTTTTTTGGTGTAATTTTATTTTATCTGATTTCTTAATGCTTTGTATGAATCACAAGTTCCAGTAAATGATGAATTGGAGGAGATATAGATATATTCTAGAATTTATGCATAATCCTGAAGCAGGTATTGATAAACAAATCCTACTTCAATTGCTCCTGCTATTTCAAATGTAACCTGTATAGGAAACAGTTTATGATGGTTTTAAATGTAGGAGAATGTGACAGGGAAGAGAATAGAATTCAGGTGGCTATTAACTTTTTAAAAAATAAATTGGAAGGGATTTGCAATTTTTTTCAAATTGTTTTTCACTTTACAGATGTCTGCAGAGCTTTATATTTAGCTTTATGTGATTTTCTTTAGTAGTTATCCAGGTTTAACTTTCAACCCAAAATACCTTTAAGTTTTAGCTCTTTTTTGAATAGCATTTGGATGTTTTAAAGAAAACTTCTAAAACTTTAATAATATTTAAAGCACATTTGTTTTGTTAAAATTGTTAGATATTTTCAAATGTGATTCTGTGCTTGTGTAGTGTATATCATTTTTGGTGACCATCTGGACCTTACAGTTGGAAGATGTTGAGTTCTTTCAGCTCCTGTGGACTTTAATAGATTGAAGTGTAACAGAGTTGCAAAGCATTAAGCTCTGAATGAGGCAACTTGAGGCAACAATTTGGTTAAGAATGCAGATGAGGATTGCTGAAAATGGCAGTGTCTGAAAGCATGTTTAAAAGAGGAGTTTGAAGGACATAAATTTCAAAGCAGCCAGTGACATTGAGAAGACTACTAGGATAAATGTACAGACCTAACACTCATGAAAAAAAAAAGTTTTCCATGTCTCAAGTATCATCATGCTGCCTTCTTTTTTCCATTCCTTTTTTGGAGAAATTTCAAACAATTTTAGTGAAAAAACATGCAACCCATAATCCAATTTAGGAAGTTTGCCTGAGGGGTAAGGAAGCTTACTTGGGAGTGAGGGGACATGATTTCATGTCTGTTGTTTTGAAATGGGGTCTTGAGTGTGAACCTTTTATCTGTTGTCTGAATGCTTCCCTGGCAGAGCTATTAGGGAGTACTCTTCAGTCTCTCTTGTTGGCATTGTTTTGCCTTTATATCACTAATTAAATCTCTGTTGAGTCAAAATATCTCTACAGCTAAATTATCAGGAGACTTGTCTAGGACACAGAAGAGTGAGGTTGATATCCATGGAGGTTCCTGTATGTATATCCATACTTAATTATCTACTACATTATGGTAGCTTGAAGAGGAGAGATTCAGGTGCAGACTTGAGAGCCTGATGGGCAGTCTGCTGGACAAGGGAAAAGGAAATATTTCCTCTTTCCATGTTCTTTTATTTCAATTCTGTTTCTCCTCCTCTTTTTCATACCATATCTCAGTGTCCTAACTGTCTAGTTCTAAGCTGTGCCAAGATCTCTCTGTTGTCTTGCAAAAAAAAAGAAGGAATTGTGCAGCTGAAATTCTCAAGAGAACTTTAGAATAGACCGAATCATTGTTTCCTGATACAATAACAACAAAAAAAGGTAGAGTTTATTTAAGTCATCCCAGGTGAAGAAATTGAGAGATGATTGTGTTTTGTTCTCTGCTGTGAGATAACAATAAATAGTACAAGGTCAGGGAAAAGACTTTTTAAAACAGAGATATTTTCCTACTTTGTCCTCTGCTTAACATCCCAATAATTTTATCTTCCTTGGAAACAATGAAATATGAAAATATTTGAATGTAATAATAATTTAACAACAAGAAGGAGCAAAAACTTTAAAAGAGCCTTTCTCGTTTTGGTAATTTCCATTGGTGCAGCTCTTTGTGGTATAGGCTTGTCTCTTTTAATTCTTACAAAGAATAAAATATACCTATAACTTTTTCACATTAGTTATATGCACAGTCAAAGGTGGGCTTGAGTTTTCTGGGAAAATTTCACTCCAGCTTTTTATAGATTATAGCCCATCAAAATGAATTCCAGTAAAAAATTGCATTGGTAATTGGGAGGCTTTGACCCAGTAACAGAATTATTTCATATGTGAAATCTCACATGACAAATCAAAGGAAAATAATAGGAGTTATTGATTATGTCAGCTGTTCTAACATTCTTCAAACATCCAACTTTATCTTTGAACAGGGTCTACTAAAGGTTGCTATAGACAATGCCAGAGCTCAAGAGAAACAGGTCCAACTGGAAAAGACAGAGCTGAAGATGGAGCTCTTCAGGGAACGAGAACTGAGGGAAACACTTGAAAAACAGTTGGCTGTGGAGCAGAAGAACAGAGGTATCTTAATTAAGCAGACATAAACACCTTGTAATTTATTTCCTTAGGAAACCTAATTTTTTTATGTAACATCTGTGTTTGATCAGAACTTTCCCTCTTACCTCATGTTATGCCCAGGCTGACTGCAATGCAGGAAGTTTTACAACCTCCCTGATTTTGCATAGGGTCTTAATGAGATTCAGAAAAAGGACCTTCCTTTTTCTCAACTTATTTCTTGAATATTACTTACTACATCAGTAATACACAACACAATTTTAAATACCATAGGTGCTCTAACAGACTTCAGC